GCCCAACCCCGGAACCCCGCCGGGGCCCCGGGGCCGGGGCTCGACAACCCTGGTCAAACCCCTCTTCCAACCGAACCGCACACTTCTTCCTTTTAGGCGGTCCGTCACGCATGACCTGCTCGGGCTCCTCCCTAGTTCTCTTTCTCCTTGCCTGCTGCTCCGCTCTCTGATCCTCTTCCCGGCGCAGCCTCTCATCTTCTTCCTCCTCATCATCGTCATCCTCCACTTCCACGGCCTCTTTCCTCCTTCCTGGCTCCGGCTCCCTCCGGGGGGGCTCTTGGCTGGCACTGGCCTTGGCCTGATTTCTTGTCTGTGCTGCCTGCACCAGCCGGGCGTGCGGGGTGAGGGGTTTCCCCATCACCCCCGGTTGTCGGCCCGACCCCACCATATTTACTCCGGGTCGTCTAGGCGCTGACTCCGGGCCAGAGTCGTACAGGAACACCTAGGGGATACTAGACTTCCATTCCCTCACTTTCTCACAAAGGTCCACCAACTTTTGTTGGTACCTTCCCATCTTACCTAGCAGGTCCTTCATTTTCCCCATCAAGATGACCGGAGGTTCCATCCTTTCTTCCCCATCCTCGTCGTCCGATTCGATGATTATGGGTTCTTCCTTTTCATCTCCTCGACGTGGCCCTTGAGTCACTTCCTCGTCGTTCCCCATTTCCTCTATCCCAATTGGTGGTTCTTCCTTTTCCTGCCATAACTGAATTCCTCTATCCCCACCGATGGTCCTTTCTTCTCCTGCCATAGCCTGAACGTAGCAGGAGGTAACGGCCCGGATGCCGCTCTTCGTTGGGCTTCCGCCCTCACTTCCCCGAGCCTTCTGTCAATGAACTCCCCAAACTGATCATAAATGTTCCCATCCATAGTGGAGGAAATCAACCCGTTCTTCTCGTCCTTCCGTCTTATGTTACAGAACCTTATAGTGTGGCCTTGCTGGTCACAGTGTTGGCAGATGGCTGACCTTCAATCGAAACGGGGTCTTTCGTATCCCTGACTTCCTTGATCCCCCTGGCCTTGGCTCCCCTGGCCTTGATACCCTTGGCCTTGGCTCCCCCGGCCTTGACCATTCCATTGTCCTCCTCGTGTCCGCCGCCATTCCTGCCTCGCCCCCTTCCTCCACCCCTCCCTCCGTTGCCTTGATTGCCCTGCCCCTGGTTTCGACCTCCAACCACGCTTCCCTGTGAACTGGGAGTGGGCGACGGCGGAGGGGCCATAGGCTGGGCCTGGGCTGCGGGGTAGATGGGTGGCGGCATACTCATCTGCGGCCCGGCTACTGGCGGCGGGCTGCCCCATGGTAGAATTGCATTGATCCCCGGTCAGGGCCACTGTCCGTAGGTGGGCGCCCCTCCTTGCGAGGGGCCCGCACTAGACGATGGAGCCGCCACATTTGGAGGAGCTGTCGCCAAGGCCTGGGGCGTCTGCCCTTTTCCTGACCCCTGCCCGCCCTGTGCCAAGTTACGCACTTTGCGCTGGGCCTTCGTTGGGTGCTGCGGCACCGACTCTTTCTCCTCCCAAAGCTCCTCCTGAACGGCCTCTTCTACCACTGACTCTTTTCCTTTTACTTGGACAGCCGTCACTACCCTTCTCTGCACCATCGGCTCTGTCGCATACCCCAGCTGCGCCAGTACGTATGTAACAATCCTTTTTACCCCTGGGGTCCTAGAAGCGGTCGCATCTCCTTACTTCCTCTTCTGCCTTTGCAGGCGTACTTGACGTTGCTCCACTTGGTCCAAGCATCCAACTTCCACCCCTCTGTCAATGGTGGCCCAGGTCAGCTTGGTGCTACCCCCTCCATGCCTTGTCAATTCGACGGCTTCCGAGGCCGTGAGTAGCCCCAGGAAAATGGCGCACTGCGCCTCCTCAGAAATCCCATGGACCTTCCGTGCCCGTTTCTTGAATTCTTGGACAAAGGCCCCTATCGTCGTAAAATCCTCTTTGTTCATTGCCTCAAGGTCCGTAGTGGTCAACAATCCGTCTCCCATGCGGTACTTCCTCTGCATTCCTTCCTTGAACCTTTCCCAGCTACCTTGAGTCGCATTTATAACTTTCTTCACTTCCTGGTGGTAGTTGTGAAGAACATACTAGAGAATGCGCTGAAACTTTACAACATCTGACCGCCCGACCAGAGCTTGTTCCACCCGCTCCAGCCATTCTGAGACTCTCTTCCCACAAAAATGGAAGGTATCGACCTTGGGGATATTGCTCGGGTTCCTTTCATGCCTGTCAATAGCCGCGATGAGGTCATCGAGCGTCAGGCCCTTCCTAGAACCACTCGATGCGCCGCCGCCCTGCAACATCTTGACAGACTCTTCTCTTCAAGCTCCCTGACAAGAGAAAACAAGCACAGCCCCTTATTCAGCATTATACCTTGACCGGTCTATTCCATCCGTCCTGCCTAACCCTTAGTACATATTTTACCCAATGCTAACACGATCGTCCCTCATACTTACCCTAACTCAGGTAGGTAAACTTCCTCACCTATACTTAGTCACTCATTACTTTTTCTTATCTTCTTGTCATTCCTTTATACCTTTTTCCCATTCACTTCTCATACCCGGATGTCGTTCCACCAGGGATAACGATAGGCTTTCTGTTATCCCTGACAACGGCGCCACCTGTTGAGCGCATCGGTCCGGCACCGCACCAGGGCAGGGCGGGACCCTTCCGGCCACGTCACGCATGAGTTGGTCTAATTCCTCATTGCAAATAAATATGGAGCTTCCGCAAGCCGCTCCGGTCGAGTGCGCCAGCCATACCTCTCGCGAGCCCCGATGACAGGATAGGGCCTACGCGAGGCACGACTTACCTCCACGTTACGGGAGCTGTCACCTCCCTTCGGTGGGCGTATCCCCGCCGAGCTACCACTCCACAGTACGAAAGTTAATCAGTTGCAATCGTAGAGGTGGACCAGCCGAGGGTGTTTCTCGTTCGCTATAGCATAGGGGGTACGCGCGGTAATACGCCTCTATCGGACCCGCATGCGAACCGGCATCTTGGGTGGCTGAAGTCCCGAGCACGGCCCGTCGTCAGTCGACTAGGACGTATCCCACACACCACGCGCACTCCACTTTACAAGTACAACACACACATACTCATACATACGAAACGACGCAACACAAACAACGCGACAACGCTCCTAGCCCCTCGATAGCCAACCCATAACTCTCCAATGCGGAAATCGAATAGAAGTCGCGCGCGAGACTCTAGTATAAAACCGCGCGGACGCAGGGCTAACTCATATCGACTCGCAATGCAACCGTACGCAAGCAGTC